TTTTTGTATTATTAAATGTTTAAATCTTCCTTGGTACCGAATTTGAAGTCTATCCTATCGTTAATAATAAAAAAAAAGTATTAAGCAGTTTCATGTCGGTCAGGACAAAGTCGAAGTTGGTCAGGTCAAGTTTTCTAACTCTTAAAAATATGTTTTTTCTTTTTTTTCTTGTACTTGAAGGAGAGTAGCGGATTCACCCGAGGATTGCCGATTGGCACATAACATGTTGTTCTACACAAAGGGGAATTTTATATTCTATATTTAGCACTTTACTTTCACTTTTTATTTACAAAAAAATATATGTGATTCGCTGGTCTTTATCAAAAAAAGAATATTCAATATTTTATGTGAAGATTAATGACCATATTTTTTGTTAATGAATATTTTTTAATTGCAAGATGAAATGTACATGCGAGACCTTCACCTTTACGTCCTTTACGAATATTGACGACTGAGTTATCCATCTTTGTTGAATGTGAAAAAAAGGTTTGCTTCGACGGTCTTTTATAACTTGGCCTTGGGTGTTCACGCTAGTACTCGCTAGTCCAAATAATGAGTGTTTACCCTAGTACCTATTATGTGGTTAACTTGGAAATTGACGTTTATATTTTAATTCTTGGGATATTATACATGTTATAGTACATGCACTTCAAACAAGTGTCAGTGGCAGGTTAACAGGTTGGGAACAATTAACCCCTCAATTTGGCTCAAATGAGGGGTAACCCCTCAATTTGTCGCTCAATGTAATGACGACCCCTTTTATGAGGGGTACATTTCAAGTGATAAAAAATATTTTTTAGTAAAAACAACTTTTGAGTACAAATGAGCACATATTTATATTATTTGAAGAAACTTTTTCCAAAGAACTATAACGTCACAGTACCCAAATTGCGCCGAGTACCCAAATTGCACCTATTTAGGAAAAATAACAGAGGAAATCTTACAAGTTTTCCTAGAGACTAAACAATTTGTATTTTTATGATTTGACACTATGCACGTCTTAAAACATAGGTAAATATATTTAAATATACACAAAAAGTTCACAGTATATATATAAACAGATGAGGTGTTCACTGGAAAAAGTAAAATGTATGGAAATGTCGCCATGCGACGTCCACAAAAAGTCATCTTTAAAAAATAGCAAATAAATTATGTTACAAGCATTCATTTCTTGGGTGAAAAAACTGTCAAAATAGGTGCAATTTGGGTACCCTCACATTACATCTATCTGGTATTTATATATGGTCAAAACATGTCCAAGAATTTTGTAATTTTCCTGGACTTATATATATCTTCTTTATTATGAAAAGTAATTGGACCCCTCTTTTAGAAAAGTTGTTCCAAATATAATGAATTTTTCCCCTTTTAAGTTAAAAGATTTAAGTTTTTCTTTTTTCTTTTCTACAACGGTAAAATGACCCCTTGTCTGAGGGACAGTCCCTCATTTAAGGAATATCCCTCATTTGGGGGGTTGTTCCAAACCTGGTTAACCCGAATAATCCAGTCGTTATATTAAGCTCACTAATGACACTATTGATCACTACATTAACCTCGAAAGGCGGAGATAATCGGAGACGTCAAGGGCTTGAAATATTCGAGTTAGTAGTAGGCATGGTAGGGCTTTATAGAAGAGTTTTGATTTGACAATATTTGAGTTATTTCCCATGGGCACCATTCTGTATCTGTAATAAATCGTCACCTCCAATATAGGTGATCGAGAGATTGCAGAGGATTTATTTGAATAACCAAATTGAAACATGAGGTACAAAGAAGTCTGATTAAACAAACATCCTTTCTGGGTAGTAACGATGAATTAAGGAAGGTTAAGACATGTAAAAGAAATTAAAATTCTTCAGAAAGCAACCTTTTCTAAAGTCTAGTAGTTATAACATGTATAACTTATATATAACTGTATAACTGTGTAACAAGTTGAATTAGACTGATTTCACACATGATCTTCCAATATGCATGATATGCCAGTTCCTAGATACAGTAGTTCTTTGAATCTTTCATGTGACTTCCATTACCGCATGACCAAAACGTAGGCATTGACACTTTCAACACATGTTGAGCAAACAAGTAAAAAATTTTAATGCTAAACTGCGCAAAATATTAGGGAAATTAACATCTAGTTAGTGGGGTCTCCCTGATATTCCAACACCCCAATAGTCTGACACCCAATTGGTCCAAGGCAACACTCCATTAGTCTGACACCCCATTTGTCTGACACCCCATTAGTCCAACACCCCAATAGTCTGACAAAGGAATCAATGCAAATTCTTCCCCTTATAGAAAATCTATTTAATTCATAGAATCGTAGTTTGCCGTGGTATTTGAACGATTCTGTCTTATAAGTATGTCAAAGAAACAGAAACGGATAATACAATACCGCCAATCTGGGTTTTAAGAAATACCTTGACCATTTGCACATAAAGCAATCGAGAATCCTTTCAAGTTTTGGTAAACTAATACAAGGTTGTCTATTGGAAAATACACTCCACTAAAAAGAAATCTAAAGAACACCCATCGCGATTGGTAGTCTGCAGTCTCTCAACGTTTACATAATTTAGTCTCTGGCATAACCGACAAAGTATCATTTAATCATTCAAATGGATTTTTTTTTCAAACATGATGAGTGCCAATGAGACAACTCTCCATCCAAGTCAAAATTTATAAAAGTAAACCATTATAGGTCACAGTACGGTCTTCAACACTGAGCCTTGGCTCACACGGAACAGTAAGCTATAAAGGGCCCCAAAAAATTACCAGTGTAAAACCATTCAAACGGGAAAACCAACGGTCTAATCTATATAAAAAACGAGAAACGAGAAACACTTATGAACCACATAAACAAACGACAACTACTGAACATCAGATTCCTGACTTAGGACAGGTGCAAACAAATGCAGCGGGTTTAAACGTTTTAATGGTACCAAACCTTCACCCTTTTTCTGAAACAATAGTGTAACATCACAACATAGAAAGACACACTATAAAATATCAACTGAAATAGCTTAACTCAATCAAAGGACATATTAACACCATTGAACATACCGGTACACTGAACAAATACATTTGACCTATGACACAATGTAAATACAAAATAAATAAACTAAGGGAAGAATAATAAAAGTAACATGTTATATCGGTAAGAAATGTTAACCAATTAAAGAAAAACAATATGCTCGAACAAAAATACCATCCATTTGCAATAACTTTAAACACAGGTAAATGAAAATAATTTTGTTGTTAGGTATACCTGTACAGTACCAATAGAGAAAGGAAATATTTTTACAAAATAAATAATTTTGAATACAAAATAAATAAACTAAGGGAAGAACAATAAAAGTAACATGTTATATCGGTAAGAAATGTCAAACAATTAAAGAAAAACAATACGCTCGAACAAAAATACCATCCATTTGCAACAACCCTAAACACAGGCAAATGAAAATAACTCTGTCGTTAGGTATACGTGTACAGTACCAATAGAGAAAGGAAACATTACCACAAAACAAACAATTTTGATGTTCATAGTACGAAGTGAAAATTTATAGCCATACCAAACACCCATCAAAGCTGGTACATAGACCAGATATAACCCTGAATAACATTAAATAACAAAAAAGCAATACAATTAGTATCAACAGGTCAAATAAACAAGAAAGTACGATTTGAGAGTACTCGCAGTTACTGACAGCTAGTTAAAAGCCAAAACAATTAATAATAAAAAATCATGCATCAGAGACTAAAATCAACTAAAACTCTATATATATGAAGACTTAATTTAGGTTGGAACTTTAATAAAACCTCTACGATCCTAAATAGTTACGCCCCATGGAGCATTTTATTCATTTTTGTTTTTTCCAAAAATGTCTATTAACATGATTAACAGTTATCGGGAAGGTCCAGCGCCATGTTCAAATTGCGCATTTTGACCAGAAATGGTGCATCGAGTGACAAATGTCAGCGCCAGTGTAGCACATGATATTTTTTGCTTCATATCTAAACGTTTAGATATCGTGAAATCAATTACGATTGTGTTTTGTGTTGCCATATTTGTTTACAAAACTGTATTGTGTTTGCTCCAATGACAGGATCACCACCTATATTGGGCTGTCTAGTGCCATGTTTTAAGATAGCATTGACCATTGTGAGGTATATCTGATTGTCGAAAAAATGTCATTAAGCATCATGCATTCATGATCTAAATTTTCAAAGTAAACAACTTTAATTCTGTGAAAGGTCAGTCAGGGGTACTACTTGTACAAGTTATCTTTATTGACATGAAGAAGTAAGTGATAATATACTTTATATAAGTAAATTTGTTATGTTTATATTTTCTTACAAGGTTTGAATAATATCCCCTTAATTTTCTCAAAAAATTTACTTGTATAAGTAAATTTTTTTTACAACCCCTAAAATTCTCTAGCTTTGGGATGTAAAAACATGCCTTAAACAAATTTTTCTCTGGTAAGCTCATATTTTTATATTAGAGTTCAATGTTTCATCTCTTTAATTCAACTAAGAAACTAATTGTGCAAAGCCTTCAAAAATTACCCCTTGGGGGCTTGTAAATGAGCAGTGTTCTGACAAATAATAATTTCATTTTCCATGAAATTACACTTATATGATTAGTAAAGACATCTGCAAAGGACAGACAATACAAAATTCTATTAGAACAAAGAAGTCTTAAGAAATTTAAGAAAGGAAGATAGTGTGACTTTTTTACTTGTATACATGGTATAAGTAAAAAATCTGAATGTCTAAGGGACATAACTTAGCCATTAAAATAATTTACCTTTACAAGTAAATGAAATACACTTATATCAGTATCTTGCAAATTTACTAATATAAGTATATTACTATTTACTTCTTCAAGTAAATAAAAATAACTTTTACAAGTAGTACCCCTGACTGAAGGTGGCTAGTACAGATGAGAAATTTTTCTCAAATTATAATCTTTAAAGTAAACTTGCTATAATTTCGATTGAAAAACCCAAAGGTCTTTTTTGTCGAGCCTTCGACTTTTGTCGAAAAAGCGAGACATAGCGATCCTACATTCCGTCGGCGTCGTCGGCGGCGGCGTCCACAAATATTCACTCTGTGGTTAAAGTTTTTGAAATTTTAATAACTTTCTCAAACTATCCTGGATTTCTACCAAACTTGGACAGAAGCTTGTTTATGATCATAAGATAATATTCAAAAGTAAATTTTGTAAAAAAAGAATTCCATTTTTTCCATATTTTACTTATAAATGGACTTAGTTTTTCTGCCAGGAAACATTACATTCACTCTGTGGTTAAAGTTTTTCAAATTTTAATAACTTTCTCAAACTATCCTAGATTTCTACCAAACTTGGACAGAAGCTTGTTTATGATCATAAGATAATATTCAAAAGTAAATTTTGTAAAAAAAAATTCCATTTTTTCCATATTTTACTTATAAATGGACTTAGTTTTTCTGCCAGGAAACATTACATTCACTCTGTGGTTAAAGTTTTTGAAATTTTAATAACTTTCTTAAACTATCCTGGATTTCTACCAAACTTGGAAAGAAGCTTGTTTATGATCATAAGATAGTATCCAGAAGTAAATTTTGTAAAAAAAAATTCCATTTTTTCCGTATTTTACTTATAAATGGACTTAGTTTTTCTGCCAGTTAACATTACATTCACTCTGTGGTTAAAGTTTTTAAAATTTTAACAACTTTCTTAAACTATCTTGGATTTGTACCAAACTTGGACAGAAGCTTGTTTATGATCAAAAGCTAGTATCTAGAAGGAAATTTTTTAAAAATTTTGTTCCATTTTCTCCGTTTTTTACTTATAAATGGACTTAGTTTTTCTTCCAGTTAACATTACATACAGTCTGCAGTTTTAAGTTTTTAAAACATTTATTAGATTCATAAACTATCCTGGATTTTTACCAAACTTTGACAGAAGCTACTTACAATCAAAAGATAGTATAGAGAGGAATATTTTTTATTAATTTTTTTCCTTATTTTTGTTGAGCCTGCGATTAACAGCAAAAGTAGGCGAGACACTGGGTTCCGCGGAACCCTTACGAATTTTTTAAGTAATGTGTTTGTCTCCATAAAAGATGGTTAACTGTCCTTGTCAATTTTTTGGTCTTTGGCTCATTTTTTATACAACTGCAAAAAATTTTTGTGGTCGTATATTGGTATGATGTTGGCGTCATTGTCGTCTTTGTTGTCGTTGTCGTTTGAAAACACATTGGTTTTCGCACAATAACTTTAGTTTAAGGGAATGGATCTCTATGAAATTTTTACCATAAGGTTCAATACCACAAAAGGAGGGTTTGGATTGATTTTGGGGGTTATGGTACCAACAGTTAAGGAATTAGAGGCCACAAGGGGCCAAAAATAAGCATTTTTCTATTTCCAGACAATAACTTGTGGAACGGTGTATGGATCTGTCTGAAATTATACCACAAGTTTCCATACCACAAAGGGATGGTTAGGTTTTGCTTTGGGGGGCCATGGCTCAAACCGTTTAGGAATTAGGGGCAAAAAAGGGGGAAAAACAAGGGTGTCCCAGTTAATGGACAAATACTTTAGTACAAAACATAATTAAAAAGCAGTGTAAGGGAGGTAATTCAAATGATGTATTTGAATTACCTCCCTTTCACTGCTTTTTAATTATGTATAAAGTAATGGTTAATGAACAATTAAGACAATTTAAAAGCAGTGTAAGGGAGGTAATCCAAATACAATGTTTTGATTTGACGCTATATTTTAAATTCTGTTATAAATAGATTAAGTTAGCACTATGGTAAATTTAAATGGGTAATCATGGTTGCAAACTCCATTGGAAATTGAATTGAGATTATGACTAAATCTTGAGGGAAAGAATTTTTTGGGGGGAAAAAGGGGGGGGGGGGGGGGGGAAGAAATTGTGGGGGGTCAATTTTTTCTCATTTCAGATTTCATAAATTAAAAAGAAAAATTCTTCAAATATTATATTTTTTGTAAAATAAAAGTGTGTGTGTGTGTGTGTGTGGGGGGGTTAATATGCAACAGCAAAGTGTATTGCACAAACGCCAAAAAAAAGGGGGGTAATTTTTTTTTTTTTGGGGGGGGGGGGGGGGGGGGGGAGGGAGGGTCAATTCGCAACAGCAAAATGTATTGCACAACAGCAAAAAATTGAATATAAATTCAAATTATATAACCGATTCTTAGTTCTTTGACTACAGTTATTCTGTGTCAGAAACCTTTTATGTGTCAAATATTTAATTACAATCCAAATTCAGACCTGTATCAAGCGCGAATATTGCGTCCATTTTTGCCCGAACTGTTCAGGGTTGGACCACTGCAGTCGTATCTCGCTGCGCTTGGTGAAGAAATTTATTTGTGATTTTGAAACTGGTCTTTAACTTTTTTGATTTATTTGCATTGTATACAGGTATATATAAATATGTCTGATTCCAAAAGAGTTAACCTTTGCTTCATAACACTTAATTAAATTTCCTATTCGCATTATTAGGTTTTTTTTATGCCCCCGCCATAACAGAGGGGGCATTAAGTTTTACCCTTTTCCGTCTGTACGTCCGTCCATCTGTACGTCCCAAAATTGGTTTCCGTTCTTTAACTTTAGTGTACCTCAACCAAATGTTATGAAACATATACACAATGCTTATTACAACAAAACTCAGATCAAGTACAAATTTGGGTAGCGTCACTTTTACAGTTCTTGAGTTATGTCCCTTTATAAGGTTATATGCAAGCAGGGGCATAATCTGTGTCCCATGGACACATTCCCCATTTAGAATAGGATCAGAAGTGGTTCATTGCATAGTAACCTACAGATTTCATACAAAACTCCATAACCATCTGATCTCCCTGTTTGTAAGACTCTAGAAAATAATGAAATTATTGATTTGATTATCTGGTTTCATTTTTATACAACAGCAAAAAAATTTGCGGTCGTATATTGGTATCATGTCTTCATCGTCGTTGTCCGAAGACAATTGATTTCCGGACAATAACTTTAGTATTAGTAAATAGAAATCTATGAAATTTAAACACAAGGTTTATAACCACAAAAAAGGGGTGGGGGGGGGGGTAAAATTTTTTCTTTTTTTTGGGGGGGGGGGGGGGCAATATGCAACAGCATAGTGTATTGCACAAAAGAAAAAAAAGGGGGGGGGGAATACATTCTTCCTATTTTTTTTGGGGGGGGGGGGGGGGGGTCAATTTCCAACAGCATGGTGTATTGCACAAAAGCAAAAAATTGAATATAAATTCAAATCATATATCCAATTCAAAGTTCTTTGACTTCAGTTATTCTGTGTCAGAAACCTATTATGTGTCAAATATTTAATTGCAATCCAAATTCAGACCTGTATCAAGCGCGAATATTGTGTCCATTTTTGCCCCAACTGTTCAGGGTTGGACCTCGGCGGTCATATCCAGCTGCGCTCAGAGAAGCATTTTATTGCTTTCATTATTACTATTTAGCAGCTATATTTTTGTTGTTGTGAACTCGTATAGTCAAAACAGGTTCCTTACTGAGAACGCAGCAAACTTAACATACATGTAGTTCTATTTGGAAGGCATTAGAGCCTTATCTTTCTTAGTTCTCTGCTTTGGGAGAGATATGCAGTTACAAATCTGCATGCACATAATTCCACAAAACTTCACAAGTTATATTCTAACTTGACAAAATGTTCACTGCAGAAAAGAGATTGATAGTACTCTATTTTAGTCACGCAAGACAATGAGGTCTGCATCTCCATCATTCTGTATGTTGTATAGGTGAGTGTATCTGAATATTTCACAAATACCTACATGTCTACCAAACTACCTTGATTATGATAGCTTGGATCAGTCTATAGACCATTAGGCTTTCGGTTCCAAACACAGTTTTAATATTAAACAGGCTCTTTAATATAAAAAAATATGTTAACTATTGTTCAATTATTCGATGTCAGACTATAGGGGTGTTGGACCAATGGGAAACATGGAACTATTTGGGTGTCTGACAGATAGGGTGTTGGACTAGTGGGGTGTCGGAATATCAGAGCTGCCCTACTTAGTTGGTCACCCTCCCTTCAGTCTTACAGGAATTAAGATTATGTACTTAAGAACATAAACTTATTCTAGACTACCCTGCAGAATGATGATTCTAAAAAAAACAGTAAACTTTAATAGTGTAGGGATACAGGCGCACCTTCTATCAGGTAAATGATGTCACAAGGGCGTGTGAAATTGACAATCTTTTCCGGTGAAAGAGGTGATTTGAGAAATGGCCAATTGGTGAAAAAATTTGGTGTTGCAAAGTAAAGCTCTTCTACATGTTCTAATCATTACGACCCAAAATTCATAAATTCGAAATTGGAATCTCATTATAAGGAATATGTGCATGTAGACCTCCAGCATCATGAGCATGGCATGTTGTTACATAACTGTATTATATTTTAACAGTATTAACTGGTACTTAAAGAAACCATGGATGCCATTTCATGTGCATATTATATCCAAATTATAATCTGGTTTGGCTTGATTGGATTTTCTGGTGCAAAAGGTATGTGCATTTATTATATTTATAGTTCCCCTACTCCAAAGGGTCATTGTGTCAGCTTATGCAATACATTGAGTCTGTTGTCTATTGTCATCTGTCATCCTCCATTTTCTGAACATTTTACTGTTTCTTTTTCTCTGAAACTTGAATTGCCACAATCATCCTAGGGGTATATTGTCAAGTGATCCTGCCAGACAAAAAATATGGCTACCATGGCAAAAAATACAGTGAAGGGGTAAAATGCAAATAGCGTCTATTATCTTATAAATCATTATGGATAGGGCCAAAAAAAGATATATGTCTGATTAAGGTTACATACTTTAAAAAAATAGGGTAGGTAGGTCGGTATTTCCATTTTATTTTATTTTATTTTTTCATTTTATTTTTTGTGACATGATTTTGAGTCATGCCGTTTCGTCTTGTCGTGGTCCGAGTTGATTATGGGCCGAGTTTACCCGTATTTTTATACGACCACAAAAAAGTTTTTGTGGTCGTATATTGGTATGACGTTGGCGTCGTCGTCGTCGTCGTCAGGCGTCGTCTGGCGTCGTCCGAAGACACATTGGTTTTCGCACTCTAACTTTAGTTTAATTGAATGGATCTCTATGAAATTTTACCACAAGGTTCAATACCACAAAAGGAAGGTTGGGATTGATTTTGGGGGTTATGGTACCAACAGTAAAGGAATTAGGGGCCAAAAAGGGGCCAAAAATAAGCATTTTTGTAACTTCCAGACATAACTTGTGTGTTATTGTATGGATCTCTCTGACATTGTACCACAAGGTTCCATATCACAAAGGGAATGCTGGGATTGATTTTGGGGGTAATTGCCTCAAAATTTTAGGAATTAGGGGCCAAAAAAGGGGCAAAAAACAAGCATTTTTCTAGTTTCATGACAATAACTTGTGTGTAAGTGTATGGATCTTTCTGAAATTGTATTAAAGGTTCCATATCACAAAGAGAAAGCTGGAATTGAGTTCGGGGGTAATTGCCGAAACGTTTAGGAATTGGGGGCCAAAAAGGGGCCAAAAATAAGCATTTTTCTAGTTTCCAGACAATAACTTGTGTTCAAGTGTATGGTCTCTCTGAAATTGTACTGCAAGGTACCATACCACAAAAGGAAGGCTGGGATTGATGATGGGGGTAATTGCCTCAATATTTTAGGAATTAGGGGCCAAAAAAGGGGCAAAAAACAAGCATTTTTCTAGTTTCAGGACAATAACTTGTGTGTAAGTGTATGGATCTTTCTGAAATTGTACTACAAGTTTCCATATCACAAAGGGAAAGCTAGAATTGAGTTTAGGGGTAATTGCAGAAACGTTTAGGAATTGGGGGCCAAAAAGGGGCCAAAAATAAGCATTTTTCTAGTTTCCAGACAATAACTTGTGTTCAAGTGTATGGATCTCTCTGAAATTGTACTGCAAGGTACCATACCACAAAGGGAAGGCTGGGATTGAGTTTGGGGGTGATGAATCATAAGGGGGTTCAAAAAATTTGGGGGGGGGGGGGTTCCTTTTTTTCTTTTTTTCCTTATTTTTTTCTTTTAAAATTTTCCATTTTAAGTTGGTTATTTCTGATTTATATTTAAAAGCAAATAATAATGATATGGTAGGAGATATACACCAAACAGGATGTGTAAATTATTATATAATAAGTATTGTGCAATAGCAAGAAATTTTCAATTGCACAGTATTGCACAATAGCAAGAAATCTTCAATTGCACAGTATTGCGCAATAGCAAGAAATCTTCAACTGCACAGTATTGCGCAATAGCAAGAAATTGTCAATTGTACAGTATTGCGCAATAGCAAGAAATATTTAATTGCACAGTATTGTGCAAAAGAAGATACTTCGTATAAATTGCTTATTTCTTGACCAATTTCAATGGGGTTTTATTCTTGAATTCTTGGGGTTCTTTAATATGCTGAATCTCACCGTGTATTTAGTTTTTGGATTTTGGGCCCCGTTTTTAAATTGGTCCACATTGAGGTCCAAAGGGTCCAAAATTAAACTTTGTTTTATTTCATCAAAAATTGAATTATTGGGGTTCTTTGATATGCCGAATCTAACTGTGTATTTAGATTCTTAATTTTTGGTTCCGTTTTCAAATTGGTCTACATTAAGGTCCAAAGGGTCCAAAATTAAACTTAGTTTGATTTTAACAAAAATTTAGTTCTTAGGGTTCTTTGATATGCTGAATCTAAACATGTTTTTAGATTTTTGATTATGGGCCCAGTTTTCAAGTTGGTCCAAAACGGGGTCCAAAATTAAACTTTGTTTGATTTCAACAAAAAATGAATATATGGGGTTCTTTGATATGCTGAATCTATAACCATGTATTTAGATTTTTGATTTTTGGGCCCCGTTATCAACTTTGTCCACATTGAGGTCAAAAGGGTCTAAAATTAAACTTTGTTTGATTTCATCAAAAATTGAATTCTTGGGGTTCTTTGATATGCTGAATCTAACCATGTAGATTTTGGATATTGGACCATAATAGGTGAATGTCCAATTTAAAATTTTTAAGTTCTTAGACCACATTCATTCTGTGTCAGAAACCTATGCTGTGTCAAATATTTAATCACAATCCAAATGCAAAGCTGTATCAAGCTTGAATGTTGTGTCCATACTTGCCCCAACTGTTCAGGGTTCGACCTCTGCGGTCATATCAAGCTGCGCCCTGCGGAGCATTTTATTAATGATTGGATTATTTCCCTTGGTAATTGGTTGGAAAAAAATGGCGGCATATAGTGTTTATTTCATCACACGAGTTGCGAATTTCCTTAAAACAGCTGTCATATTCACGATTGTGAACATTTGGATGTATCAGGCAATTGATTTATATTATTTGCAACACTAACTTCGCTTTTGACACGAGTTCAGTTTATTTTTCACTTTATGACGGAAATAAAATGACTCAGGGTCGGTGCTCAAAAGTAGGGTCGGTCGGGTAACCGTAAACAGACATATATTTTTTTTTGGCCTAGACAAAATCTGACATGGCAGAAATGTTTGAATGTCAACCATCTCCTAAAAGATTCCTACTATCAATTTTGACTGAAACTTTCATTTTAGTGTTTAATGCTTTTTAAGTTTCATAACTCAATATTTTCCTGTTAACTGAATAATTATATATTCTTTCAATGCACAGTGCCGAGATCGGACTTTAAAATTGAAAATTGAACTATCGCAGACATTTGCGTTTTTGACTGATAACCGAATGTATTTTGTACATACATATAACATGTATAATGAAATGCATGACATTTTGTTTGCAAATTTTGTAAGAAACTACAAATCAAGGTTTTCTGAAATTTTGACACAGGCTTAGCATATATATATGAGCATGCTGTATTGTTTTATGGATTTTCACATGCATCACTAACATGTCTTGATGTCTAATCATTTAACTGTTTACTGAATACTTATAGTGGGGTATTACATGTGTTTGTAGCTCACAATTCAACTTCTTGTATATAGTCATGGCATGCCAGATATAAAAAGTCTACATTGTACGATTAAAAACATTCTGCCCAAAACACAACAAAATGACAACGACAAGGTTTTTTTTTAACAACCTTGACTACCTTTGAGAATCTTGCACATTCGGTAAAATGACAAGAAACATGAAAATGAACAATAAGAAGAGGTCTGGGTAAACAAAATGTCCCCCTTCCTCCCTATTTCTATGGAAAGAAAGAGGCAAATTTATGAATGTCTTTAAAGTTTCCCAACTGCCTTTGCTATCCTATTGACTTGAGTTTAAAAGTATGTATTTGGTAAGAGAAGATCTTAAACATGTTTAATGAGATATTCCTTTACATGCTTTAGTATTATTAATTTCTTTGATATACTCAAAACGCCCAGGAATCCTGAAATTCAATATGTAGCAACAATGATCGTCAATAAAATTTGGTTCTGCAAAGTCATTTGTTAGACGTACATGTTTCCGGTTGCAAAGTCATTTGCTAATCAGGTTGTCGATTACCAAGCTGGCAGATTTACACCATAAATGTTTCCCATGTACTGAAATGCCAAAGAATCAAATGCAGAAAAGCATTTTAATCCTTAAAGGTTTAAACCACATAATTACCAAAGCACATGCACCATAATCATGATAATGGGTGGGACAGAAACCAAATCAGAAGGCACAAAACAGAACTCAAAATATACCCAATAGAACTAGTTGACTTTTCTGTCAGTCATTTAGGCATTGGTTACAAGCAGTTGTTGCCTGCGATGATGACATATCCACTGATATTAGGGGAAAACCAGGGTTTTATTGCATACCACATGATTTAAACATTTAAAATGACAAAATAAATTCAACTTTCAAACTGCAAACTTTTTTTAAGACAATGAAGTAAATTTGAATGAAATTAATTTTATGTTTAAACAATTATTTTACATAAACATGATGAATTGCATATTTGAAAATGAGAATTCAAAAGAATAAAAAAGTTGTTAAAAGTCTGTCAGTATATACAATGATCCACATTACATGTTTGAGCAACTTTATAAAATAAGAAGGTGTGGTGTATGATTGTCAATGGGAGCTACCTATCAAAGTCCTTATATTGTGGATTTTAGCAATTATAGGTCACAGTACAGCCCTAAACAATGAGCAAAACTAATAACTTTTAGTAAGCTATAAGAGGCCCCAACATGACAAAATATAAACAATTCAGACGAAAAAACTAACAGCTTAATTTGATTTATGACAAAACAATAAAGGAAAAACAAATGCAGAGACAGCAGCCTGAACAACAACCACTGAATTACAGACTACTCACTATGGCAGGCACATAAAGAATGTGGTGTGGTTAAAATTGTTTGTGAGCACTCAGCCCTCCCTAACTTAGGACAATGTTGTAAAGTATTAACAGTACCAATTTAAATGCACCAGATGTGCATTTCAAAAACTAATTTGTGTAAATCGAAAACCTAATACAAACATCATTTAAGAGCTTATTAAACCAAAAAGGACCAAAGTTATACCAAAACTAGGACAGGGAATTAGAGCTATGTATGAGGTAGATACATTTCCAAATTTGAAATGTTTTAGAAATTTTATAACATCAAATTTAGATAAAACAATATCTACTGTTCATTGAAAATAAGGTAACTGCATGCTTAAAAATCTTACTGTTGTTTTAGTTCAGATCAACATACAAACTCCTTTGGTGGAAATAGGCAGTCCTGTAGAGTTTCTGTGTAAGGAAACTAACAGTAGCCACAAAAGTACTTTTAGATGGCATTTTGATGGTCAACCTGTCAAGACAGATAACTGTTCAGGTTCATCATGGTGGACTATACAGAATTTGACAAAATCAGGCTTAAATAAAGAAGTAAAATGTACTTATGGTTTTGAATTTGACATCATTAACAGAACATCGTACACAGATATTTTCCAATGTAAGTTTTGAAAATCACTGTTATACCTTTAATTAAATGGATTGACATGACGGGTGTCAGATGACTTTGACAGAGCTTTTTGTTTAATATTTTGAATTTGATACCACACTCACTCCAACCGTCCTTGTATCATGTCAAAAGGAACTCATTTATTGCCCTACATTACTTTTACCTTATTGCCTCCTTTTTAGAGATAAGATTGCATTCATCATGTTCATGCAATCAAAACCATCATGATGGCATTTATGGCTAGCTTGATAGTTATCAATTTTAGATTGTATCACCATCTTTGATATACACAAAACAGAATGTATTGAACTCTATAAGATATACATGATATATATATTCAGATACTCTAGTTACAAAATGATGTGTATGTGTTTAACCATACTTGTCAAGAAAATTACATCAATTGTGCATGGTTCATGAATCTAGT